TATATAACTTGACAAAAGTCAGAGGACCAGTAAACTAAAGAAGATGAATTCAAACTCTGATCTGAATGCAGAGTCTGATCTTCCCATTCCCAGGACTGGAAAATCCTTAACACACAGGCTACCCAGCTCCCCTGCAGTGTTGCTGGCACCAAGCATTTCCCATGGCACTGTTCTCCAGTTCTCACAGAAACAGCGCTCTGTGCAGCCAATGACCTCCATCGGACCTGGATCATCTACCTGCCACGCCCACCAGACTTCACCATAAAGGCAGGAAAGCTGGCTTTCAAGTGCATACAGAGCCACCCCTGGTCTAACCTGGGTTCTTCTGGGGCTTCTCCAGCTTAAAGGCAGCCATGAAACTGCTCACAGTTTGTACATGGGCCACACTACCTCTCTCCATCTGTCTCCCCACCTATACTACTTAGCTATGACCATTTTGATAATCTTGGAGACAAATTTTTAAAAACAGGATAGAAAGGATTCTGGAACAAGTACTTAACACTTCCAATTTTAAATGACAAGTTACAAAGTGAGTATTTACAAACTGAATCTGCCTTTATAGGTGTCAGTTTTAAGCAGTTAGAAAATACAATAGCAAAAAATTCTCACTTACAAAATTAACAAAAACATAAACAATTATCTGGAATAAACTCAAAAATTATGCCCATATTATAAATGAAGAAACTACAGGACTGCACTGAAGGGTAAAGTAAGAGGTGTAAATGTAGAGAAATCAACATATTGCATGCAGGAAAGCAGTTTTGTAAAGATATAAGTTATCCTAAAAATAATTTAAAACTTACAAAAAAATCACATGAAAACTCTTATCTGATTTTTTTTTAACTTGAGCAAAATATTTTTGAATACTTCAGGAATAATAAAGTGATAATACTGCCCAAGAAAATTTGGGATGGAAGAAAAGAATCAAAAACAAATCTCACTGTTAAATATTAAATAAATTTTTACAATATGTAAGATATGGTACTGGAATAAAAAAGGAAGATTGACAGAAAGGAACCATGAGCTTAAAAATAGACTCTAGTGTACATAAGTATTTTGTACACGTGGGATTTCAAATCAAAGAGAAAAATATCAATTCAATAATTGTCCTGGGACAATAAGAGAATCACCTGGAAAGAATGAATTCTATTCTTGTCATAATGACCACAAGAAAAATTACAGATAGTGATGTAAATATTAAAAGGTAATAATAACCATAAATACAACACTTTGCTTATATTAACTCAACTTACCCTAACTATAAAAATTACTATTATCATCTCCATCTTAGAGATTAAATAACCTACAGAAGAGATTTATTCCATTATAAGAAAGTATTTCTAAGAATAATGCCAAATATAAAACCCATAAGGAAGACATTTACTATCTTAAGAATATTTTGGGCCACAACGAAAATCAAAAACATACTGAACAAAATGAAAGGCAAGAAATGACAAGAAAAAGCTCTGTGACACGTGTTGATGAAGACAAGAAGTTAATGTTCATAACATGCAGAAAGCTGTCACAAAGCAACGAGAAGCTCCCTCACTTAACTGTGTGCAAAGAACAAAAGGGATCATTCATTTTTAAAAAGTCAAATGGCTAATGAGTGAAAAATGCTCAGTACCTCACTGGTCATCAAATGCAAACTAAAACATTGAAAAAGCACTTTTGCTCATCATATTGGCAAATATTTGTACAAGGTATTCGAGCTAGTGTCAATCTGTGGGAGAACAAACTGTGAGCGACCTTTTTTGGAGGACGACATGTCAATGAATATGTAAACTCTAAGAAACGTGCGTACACACTGTCTCAACTCCAATTCTAGGAATCATTTCCTTTAGAAAAAAAGAAATCCGCTCAAAAAGATGTACTCATCAGGGCATTTACACAGCATTGTTTACAATGGTGGGAAGTAAAGCTGAAGTGAAATCATATCCAGCGATAGAGAATTGATTACATAAGTAATTCTACATCTTTTCATTCCCCACTAGAGAAGGAATTTCTAGAGTCACTTGAAAGGAGCCTGT